TGACATAATTTAATGCAGAATGAAATTAAAATTTCTTGTTTAAAATTTTTGTTTATTGTTTCGGTACTTTTGATTTTACAGTGTGGTGACCAAACAAATTCAAGCCACTGTTGATAAAAAAAACTAGTAAATTTTATTTTGGAGATTTTTTGTTGATACATTTTTTCTAGACAGATAGTAGTTTTAAAACACTTTTCAGACATCTATTCAGATGAAACACTTTTTTTACATTTAATAGAACAACCTATATATTTTGACAATTGGATTTAGAATCAAAATAAAATTTTGTGGTTTAAAATTTTGGTTTTATATTGCGGTATTTTTGATTTTATACTGTTGCGAACAAAAAAAAATGTAAGCCACTGTTGTTTAAAAAACCTGAGAAGAACGCTAGTAAATTTTATATTGTAGATTTTTTGTTAATAATTTTTTTCTTGGGCAGGTAGTAGATTTAAAGCATTTTTGAAAAATTTGTTGAGATGAAACATTTTATAACGATACTCATATCAACGGTGCAATACACAGGATGTCCAAAAAATTTCAGTTATTTTTTGCATCTAGTGGAACATATTATATATTTTGACATAATTCGATCCAGAATAAAATTAAAATTTCTTGTTTAAAATTTTTGTTTTATGTTTAAGTATTTTTGATTTTACACTGTTGTGACCAAAATAATGTAAGCTCCAGTAAATTTTATTTTGGTGATTTTTTGTTAAATATTTTCTTCCTGGGCAGATAATAGTTTTAAGAGCACTTTTGACAAATCAGTTGAGATGAAACACTTTATACACTATATTCCTCTGTACAATTTACAGGATGTTCAACAAATTTTAGATTTGAATATTTTAAACTAATTTATATTTTTTCACATTTAATGGAACAATTTATATATTGACATAATTCCATTCAAGATAAAATTAAATTTTAGTTCTATGTTTCGTCATTTCTGATTTTACAGTGCTGTGACAAAAAAAATTCAAGCCACTTTTGATAAAGAAATCCGAGGTCATTTGTAAATTTTATTTTGGAGATTTTTTGTTGATAAATTTTTCCTAGCTAGGCAGTAAATGTAAAACATTTTTCAAAACTCAATTGAGATTTTGAAGACCTTTTTTTCATTAAATTCTGTTATTTAAAAAATTTTTGTTGTATGTACTGGATGTCCAAAAAATTTCAATTTTGGATAGTTTATACCCAATTCTATTTCTTACATTTAGTGGAACACATATATTTTGACATACCTAATTCGATTCAGGATATAATTAAAATTTTTTGTTAAAAATTTTGGTTTTATGTTACGGTATTTTTGATTTTACACTGTTGAGACCAAAAAAATGCAATGCACTGTTGGTAAAAAAGATCGAGTAAATTTTATTTTGGATTTCTTTTTGTTAAACAATTTCTTCCAGGGCAGATAATAATTTTAAAATCACTTTTGAAAAATCGTTTGAGTTGAAACACTTTATACACTATATTCAGCAATTCAATAGAGGATGTTTAACAAATTTCAGATTTGATTTTTTTAAATTTCGGTCTTTTTGATTTTATGCTACCATAACCAAAAAAATTCAAGCCACTGTCGATGAAAACATTGAGTAAATTTTATTTTGGAAATATTTCGTTGACAAATGTTTTTCTATGCACGTAGTAACTTTAAAACACCTTTGAAAAATGAGTTAAAATTAGTTTTGGATATTTTGATTCAATTTTATTTCTTAGATTTAATGGAACACAGTGTATATTTTGCATATTTCGTTTCAGAATAAAATTAGATAAAGTTTGGCGTTTAAAAGTATTTTTTTATATTTTGGTATTTTTGATTATAAAATTTTTAAGTTGTTTAAATGTATAATGTTTTATCGTTTTATATACCTTATTTTGACTTTTGTTATCGTATTTTTTGTGTCACAGGCAAAATACAAAAGAAAACTTTTTTTGAAAATACTAAACTTATTATATTAACGCTAATCTACACATTTCACAAATTGAAAGCTACTTCTTTCGAATTATTTTAATAATTCCATTGTGTTCTCAAATTTCAATGTCGTTTTTTATTTAATTTGTAAATATATTCAAAAATTCAATGAAACCGATTTTTGTTTAATAAACATGAAACCTTGTCTCCTCTGTTTACGTCTACGACCTAAAATAGCGGCTTACCCTTGAAATATTTACCACTGAAAATTCGCGATATAAATAAGCGTAAAAAAATATTTCTTCCGAATATTAAGCTCATAATTGTAAAACTGCTGAATTCCAAAACTTAAATCCACTGGATTTAATACGAATTAATAGAGTACTGTTTGTTTTTAAAAATATTTACCACCCTATATCTCCGAAACAAAGCGTCTTTCCGAAAATAGTCCAAAGACAAAAAATCTTAAAACAATCCAAGGAATAACCCCCTGAATTTTTGCCACATGAATAGTAAACATCCTGTATATTATTTACAAAAGTTAGTAATATTTTTAATATTTTAATTTTCTCGTTTGAAGAAATTGGCAAAAAAGTTGATGACCAAATTTTTTAAAGTGTAATACACAACTGAGTTCCTTCCTTTATAACCACAGCAGCTTATTTTCGAAATTCCGATGCGACGTTGCCACCTTGTTCCAATATTCTTTAAATTTTTCACCAATGCAAACAAAATTTACAACAGAAAAAATCGCACGAGAGTTACTTTTAAAATCTTGTTATAATAATATAGTCTTCATATACAGAGTGTTTATAAAAAATAATTGTTGCTATTTTCACATATTGATTTTTCAGTTTTTTCGAATAGAGCATTTCCTACATCTAAAGTGGATAATTCAATTATATAGAAAAACCGAATCTGTGTACATTTTCTGTTTGAATACTAAATTGTTCACTCTCGGTTTTTCGATGTTTTTTTTTTTTAATTAAAAAGGCGTTTTACAATATGGTACAAAAAGTTTTTAAAATATTTTCAATTTTAAAAGCAACAGAATTTGAATATTTGGAATTTTAGCATTCATAAAAACTGAAAATTAAGTAAATCGTATTTTTAATGAACTATTAAATTATTCCTTACTTTTATGATAATATAAACGAATATTATTATTATTAAAAAAAAAAAAACAATTATTTTGAATAATTCCAAAAGTCTGAACTGAGAAATTTCGACGTTCATTTTGAAAAAGTAATACTTTAATAGTAATAAAAAAAATAGCTTCATCATTGCACATTTATTTGTTATTTTTGTTATTTTCTCCCTCGAGTGATCTTTCACCTCAACTAACGTCTCATCGCAGCAGCATTATTTTCCAACCGTAAAGTACCGTTTCGAGCGTTAATTACACAAACAACCATCAAGATTCCACTGCATTTTTGAATTTCAATGTTACATTTTACAAACCTTTTAAAATATTTAAAATATTAAAAAATAGAATTTTGTTTAGTCAATACCACACCTTTTTTTCATTTTTTGCTCCTATAACGTAAACTTCTTTATCCTTCAAATATTTTTACATTAGTTTCAAAAAATAAGTGACAACCGCGGGAGTGTTTGGAAATTTAAATACTGTACGTTTCTAAGTCAAAACAACAGTAAAATTTCCAAATCAAAAATATTACTGGTTGCATAACCGCTAATTGTTCAACCGTACTAATATTGATTCAGATAATTGGCGATGTGGACCACTCTGTTATTGCAAATACTTAAAAACAAACACCCTGTATTCCAGCCGTCGCACTATTTACGTAATCGTAACCCATACGTTGCCTCTTCTTTCTCGTAATTGCGCCTTTCCCGACCATAAATAAAGCCATAAAGCTACGATATGGCCCATGGGTGCCCACACATTTACGACTAATACCAATAATACCATTCCCAAGAAGAAAATGGTCCGACGAATAGAGGAGAAAAAAACACTAACCCAAATCTAAAAATAACGAAAAGTGTAGACATGCAAATAAGACGGCGTCTGCCACATTTTAATAACAATGCTCGTACGAGTATACAGGGTGATAAAAAAAGAAAAAAGGGAGTGGTGGACGCCATCTTGGAACACAAAACATCGAACTTACCAGGGTTGTCGCAGTCGGTTGTAAGTCACGATTGAGATTTTGTATTAAATATGATTAATTTTGTACTTTACCAAAGTAAGCCACGAGTTTTTATATTTTTTTGTGTTTTTTTTTAATAGTGATTTTTATTAATAATATACAAATTTTTCTAGTAGGAAGGTTTGTTTTAAGGCCGACAATAAGGCACTATAGTCGAATTTTTGGAAAAATACTTTAGTTGCGACAAAATAAATATCTGAACACCTAAATTCGTCGAACTTATTATTTTTAAATATATCTTTGTTTTTTTTTTCTTTTTTGTTTAAAACGAATTGTTAGCGAAATCACAGTTTTGGTTATTATCGTCGAGTGGGTAATTTTTGACACGTAATAACAACGAAATTAACGTAAAGTTCCAGTCGGTGTAGTATCGATATCGTAAAATTCACAAAACTTAGCCCGATATTGCCCGATTTATGGTTTAAGAAGAAAGTAACTGCCCGTAACGTAACACAACCGAATCGAAGAATCCAGTTAAATGCGTGAAAATGCAAGTTGTTAATTGCCCGACGCACTTTTCAACATTTAACCGTACGGCTACAAAATGTAAACGTGCCCTTAGAACGAAAAACTTGAGTTGATCCTCTTATCCTAGCTTCCTGCGTGTGCGTTAGTAAAAATAGGAACATTGGCCAAGATTATCACGAAAGTCAATTTTTGTACTACGTTTCGAATGTGAATTTCTGGAAAAGAAAGTGTTAAGATGTTAAGGTGCGTCTACATGCAGCGACTTACGGTTTTTCCGTTTGGTTTTTGTTTGTTGATTTTTAACTGTAGGTATAGACTGGGTTAGGGTTTGTGTGAGGGTATTTAACGCAGTTGGCTATGCACTGAAATTTTCCAGGGTTGAAAATGTGTACTAGAAGCACATAGATGGAGGTATATAGATTGCATATAGGTAGTACATAGTGATGTGTGTGGCCCTGCCTATGTGTGAGAGACAGAAAATCTCTCTCGAATTGTCGGCCGGGCGGTGGGGTAGACATTTGACGCTATTCCGCATCCTGCCGAGGGTGGATTTCGCATTTGGACACGTTCGAAACATCGATGCACACATGCATTATTGCGATTTTCACCTGCTGGATGAAAAATTCACCCCGATGGGGAAAAATCGGAAAAAGGGTGGACGGCTGGAAAGATCGCCGCTGTTGCGAGGCGCCATTTTGTGATGGGCTAATTTAATGGGGTCGTTGCAATGATTACTGATTAGGCGATTAGGGGTGGCTGCTGGAAAATCCGGGCTACTTGTGATAGCGTTCATCGATAATTTCTTTTCCTACGAATGTGGAATTTACTGGGGTTGGAGCGAGATGTTTGCAAACGATGGCTTGTTCGGGCGAAGGAAATTAAATTTCTTTACGACGATATCATACGGTGGAAGTAAAATTAATTAATTTGGTTGTTTAAATTTATCCTTAGTTTTCTATTTCCTAATTTGCACACAACCACTTTGGATTTATTTGGAGAAACTAGCAATATTTTAGTTTTGCTTAGCTTTGTAAACAGATAAAGCAGAAAAATCTTCGGTCGATTATGTTCAATGGGAGGATTTGTGCTATTGTGACGTCGCCATTTTGTGGTGGGCTAACATATTTAGGTTAACTTATTATGTGCGAAAAACCTGTCTCTTTGAGAAAACTTGTTCCATTTTTCCACAATTTTTAAAGTTTTGTTTTATTTGTATAATTTCAGAACCTACTACCTGCATTTTTTCAAGACTTATATTTTCACCCTCTCCAATAAACTTGTGACGTCATCTCAAACTCTCATTAAATGTAAAAATATAATGCATAATCTGATTGATTTTTCCCGAAAGATTCCATTCCGGTTAAGGGAAAACGTATTACCTAAAGTTCTGAAGAAAACTCAGTATTTCTATAATTTCTGGTTCTGAACAAAAAAATATTAAAATTTTGCTTATTTAATGTTAGAAAACAGTTTTTCTGCTAATTGAAAAAATTTGCAATTGTTTTTATTTGCTTCTCTAGCCCGTAATTTAATGTAAATATAAAATCTTATCGTTAACTCCAATTAAACAATTAACTTTTACTTCTGAGAATTTTGAAAATATATCCACGAGAAAAAAATTAAAATTGAACGAGTTGACAGGAATAAATGATAACAACAAATTTTATTTTATATTCGATTTTCTTATTAAAAAATATGTTTTCATACGAATCTTCAGTTAATATAAATATCAATTTTCTCTTTCTATAAAAAAACACATCTAAAAGATCAAAAAGAGCAAAAAGAGCAGAAAGAGCAAACTGAATAAACGGAATAAACAGAATAAACAGAATAAAGAGAATGAAGAGAATGAAGAGACTGAAGAGAGTGAAGAGAGTGAAGAAAGTGAAGAGAGTGAAGAGAATGGGGAGAATGGGGAGAATAGAGAGAATGGAGAAAATGAAGAGAATGAAAAGAATGAACAGAATGAAGAGAATGAAGAGAATGAAAAGAATGAACAGAATGAAGAGAATGGAGAGAATGGAGAGAATGAGGAAAATGAGCAGAATGAGCAGAATGGGGAGAATGAGGAGAATGTACAGTATGCAGAGAATGGAGAGAATGGAGAGAATGGAGAGAATGAAGAGAACGAAGAGAATAGAGAGAATGAAGAGAATGAAGAGAATGCAGAGAATGAAGATAATTGAGAGAATGGAGATAATGGAGAGAATGAAGAGAATGGAGGGAAGAGTGAGATTGGAGACAATGGAAACAATGGAGACAATGGAAGCAATGGGCAGAAAGGAGGGAACGGAAAGAATGAGGAGAATAAGAAGAATGAGGAGAATGAAAAGAATGGATAGAATGGAGAGAATGTAGAGAATAAGGAGAATGGAGACAATGGAGACAATAGAGAAAATGGAGACACTTGAGACAATGGAAGCAATGGACAGAAAGGAGAGAATGGAGAGAATGAAGAGAATGGAGAGAATGGAGTTAAAAGAGAGAATGGAGAGAATGGTTTTAAAAGAGAGAATGGAGAGAACAGAGACAATGGAAACAATGGAGACAATGAAGACAATATAGACAATGGACTGAAAGGAGAAAGGGAGAGAATGGAGAGAATGGAGAGAATGAGGAGAATGAGGAGAATGAGGAGAATGGAGACAATGGAGTTAAAATAAAGAATGTAGAGAATGGTGTTAAAACAAAGAATGGGAACAATTGAGAGAATTGTGAGAATGGAGAGAATGGAAGGAATGGAGAGAATCGATAGAATTGACAGAATCTGTTCAGTCTGTCCATTTTATGAACAGAATAGAAATGGAAAACAGAATAACGGAATATGAATAAATTAAACAGAATATGAATAGAGTAAATAGAATTCACAGAATTCAGAGAATGGAGTTAAAAGAGTGAATGGGGACAGTGGAGAGAATGGAGAGAATTGGGACAATGGAGAGAATGGAGACAATGGAGCCAATGGAGACAATAGAGAAAATGGAGACAATGGAGACAATGGAGACAATGGAAACAATGAATAGAAAGGAGAAAATGGAAAGAATGGAGTTAAAAGAGAAAATGAAGAGAATGAAAAGAATAAAGAGAATCAGTAGAATGGAGAGAATGGAGAAAATGGAGGGAATGGAGGAAATGGAGAGAATTGAGAGAATGGATAGAATGTAAAGAATGAAGGCAATGGAGAGAATGGAGGGAATGGATTGAATTGTGAGAATGGAGAGAATCGACAGAATCGATAGAATGGATAGAATCTGAATGAAGAGAATGAAGAGAATGAGAAGAATGAGGAGAATGAGGGGAATGAGGAGAAGGAGGAGAATGAGGAGAATGAGGAGAATGAAAATAAAGGAGAGAGTGAGTAGAATGAGAAAAATGAGGACAATGGATAGAAAGGAGAGCTTGAGGGGAATGAGAAGAATGCGGAGAATAAAGAGCATGGATAGAATCTGAATGAAGAGAATGAAGAGAATGAGAAGAATGAGGAGAATGAGGGGAATGAGGAGAAGGAGGAGAATGAGGAGAATGAGGAGAATGAAAATAAAGGAGAGAGTGAGTAGAATGAGAAAAATGAGGACAATGGATAGAAAGGAGAGCTTGAGGGGAATGAGAAGAATGCGGAGAATGAAGAGCATGGATAGAATGGAGAGAATGGAGAAAATGAGGAGAATGAGGAGAGTGAGGAGAATGAGGAAAATGAGGAGATCCAGGAGAATGGAGAGAATGGAGAGAATGGAGGGAATAGAGAGAATGGAGAGAATCTACAGAATCGACACAAAGGAGAGAATGGATTGAATGGATAGAATGAACAGAATAGAAATAGAATAAAGAGATAAACGGAATATGAATAAAATAAACAGAATAAACAGACTAGGGACAGAGTAAATAGAATTCACAGAGTAAACAGAGTAAACAGAATTTACAGAATAACAATACAATTTAGAAAATAAACAGAACACGAACAGAAGAGATAGAATGTACAGAATAAGAATAGGAAGAGCAGTTTTCCCTTTATACAAAATATAAAAAAAAAACTGGAGTGAATAGAGTAATTAGAGTAAATGGGGCGAAATAGAACAAATAGAGCAAAAAGAGCAAAACAGTGAAAAGAGCGAAAAGAGCGAAAAGAGCCAAAAGAAAAACAGAATAGGCACAATAGACAGAACAGACAGAATAAACAGAATTAGGAAATTGAGTAAAAACAGAGAGTAAAAATGATAACAAGAGTGAAATGAGCAAAGGGATTAAACTGAATAAACGTAATAAATGGATTAAACGGAATAAGCAGAAGAAACAAAATAAACCTAATAGGAATGGAATAGGTAAATGGAATACATATTGTATATACTTTGTTTAAATTTTATTTAATTATTTTAATAAATAGAACAAACAAAATGGATAAAATAAAAAAAAATAGAAATAAATAAAACAAATAAAGTAAATAAAATAGATAAAATAAATACCAGATGATTCCAACAGACATTTTTGCAAAATGTGCTTTTTTAAGACAAATTTGCCGTTTTATTGTGATAGGAAACAAAATTGCTACCCGAGCTGAATTATTGGTTGCAAACACATCGACAATGTTTAAAAATTTAGCTTGTGTTTGATATTTATTACAGGCAACCATCACAACGAGGCGGCAAAATTCACGAATAATTAGCAAGTTTTATGAATAATGTTTTATAATCACTTATATGTATATTAAACACAAGTGTACTTTTTCAGTTTTGAGTATATTGTTTATGTTTTTTTTTTTACAGTAAATTAAAAAATCCTTATAATGTATAGTACTTGATTTATTTATAACAAAGATGCAACTATTTACAACAAAAACACCACTAGTGTAATTTTTTTAATTTCATATTTGTGTTAAAAATGTCCATTTTAAGGTTTATATGTTAAAATAATTTTTTTCTAAAATCCAACGGGTGCACCTACAATGAAAAAAAACCAGTTTGTTGATTGTTTTTTTAAACCTTTGTCCAATCACTTATCACCGCCGTGGCCGAAATTTTTTAGATCTCTTTTAATTTTTTTTTTTTATATGAAAAAGAATAAGAAATTTTAAACAAAAAAAAACGAAAAAGAATTCGACTAAGTGAATGAAATTTTTGGTAAAGTAACGAAAAAATTTGAAAAAAAACAACAAAAAAAACGACAAAAACAACGAAACATATAGACTCTGCTAGCATTCATTGTTTCAAACTGCTTTCCCGAGCCAGATTTTTTTTAAAGAATTTTTCGTTTCGAAGCTGATAGTTAATCCTCCGATTCAATGAAACGTTAAAAACTAGATTTATTTTAATTTAAATAAATGTCACTGATACCTTTGACTGATTGATAATAATTGTTTGAAATTGATCATGGATTAAGGCAAAATAAGCGCTCGTTTGAACGTGTTATTGTTTTCGTCGTATTTTTTAATCTCAACGCTGTAGAACTGAGTGCTATCTATAGAAAAAACAAACTTGTTTATTAAAATCAAATCTGAATTCCCTAGTACTTCAAGTTCGTTTTAAATTCTAACTTTCCGAAAAAAAAACACAACTAAAAACTCGTTTCATTTCGAACCCCCAAAAGCCATCATCACCCGCCCCACAAAGAAATCTCATCACACCCAACCTCGTTATTTTTCCCCTATCCGTAACAATCCCAACCCGGCATTTTTTGCCCCTGCGTCCCCTAACCCAGCCACCCACGTTTATGTTGTCCCACCAGCTCCCCGGCGCGCGTGGTTGCCTATCTCCGTCCTTTTTTCAATGTACAACGTGCAGCGAAAAAATCCTGCACCGCTGTACATTGGACAAAACTAAATTCTATCTAATGCAAATCAATATAAATTCGTCAGTTCCGAATCACGCATGGTTCAAAATGCAATTCTGCGACTGCAACAGAAGCACACCAGAACGAGATAAAACTAATCACAATCGACACGGGTTATGCGAACCGGCTAAAGGCAGGACATGATCCTCCCCCTCCTTCGTTTTTTTCCCGCGGATTTTTCGCGCTGTGGGTGCGTGTCGGACGCGTCTTGATTTTTTCTGGGGGGTTTGCGACTACGGGGGCGGGGTGGGGCGTGCGTTGCGACAGGTCCGGAATATACATATCGATTCGGATAAATAATATATAGTTGTAAAATTCATGCATATAAATCTATGTTATCAAAATCCCCCTCGCCCCACCCCAGCGCCGTCGCCATGGCGACCATGCAAATTCATCAAAAATTTTTGCGCTCGCACAAAATCGAATGAAACGGTCTGCAGTTAAGAAATTTAAAAAACAGCGCATTTGCGATTGGTCGGCCCGAGTGCGTTTATCGCGGCCGAGTTTTCTACATTGGGTGGGGGCGAACATCTCGGTCGCGTTTTTAGACGGGCGCAAGTAGCCCGTTTTTGATAATTTTTAATAATTCAGGGACATGCCAATGCTCTCCGTGCATTTAAGTGACGGATGGACGGGATCGATCGGGTGGAAAAAATGCGGATGGATCGGAAAATGGGAGTGTGGGGTAATTAAGGGTTCTGTCATTTGATGAAAGGTCAGGAAGAAAAGCTGGGTATTGTTATTTTTATGGGCGACGAACAATGGACTAATTTTAAATCGATATCGTTTATTTTCTTTGTTTTGTCTCCGGGAAAAGTCTATGGAATCGGGAGGCGGCGGAGGAAAAAGTCGAGTGCAACCAAGGAGGCAGTGGCGTCGGTGGGTTGCATACGGGTCGAGGCAGCGCGGTGTGGCCACGAGTGGCTCGACTGTGAAATGCGTTTGTTTTATTTTTCAGAATCTGCTCATGCAAAAGAACTATTTCGACGATTTATTTTTTGAAAATTCCGTTGAACTTTGGGACATATCTAAATGTCTAGATAGGTTTCAAGTAATCAAAAAGTCTCAGATCATCAGTATAAAATTATTAATATATGTTACATAATTAAAAAAAAAAAAATGGTCTAAAGAGCTTAGACAGTACTTCCCTCGCTCTCAGAACCATGTCTCTATGTCTGTCATAGTTTTTTCTCATTAGAGCTCTGGGGTGCGATTTTGTTTTTGATAGTGATAAAATCTCGTTTGCTGATTGGTTGAGAGGCTGAGTTGGTGAGACATTTCTGTCACATTTCTCGATTCTGTCACGAAATCAAGTCTTCATGGAGTAATAATAATAATAATAATAATAATAATAATAATAATA